CTTAGCACCGTGGGGCCACAGGAGCAAACATAAGACAAAATGGCTTAGGTTTGTGATTTGTGTGTGTGTTTGTGCACAGGGACCCACAATGTGTATAGTACCGTCTCGTAGGGAGTTTGAGAAGCTGAGGGGTAAGCGGGGGTTGCACAATACCTGGGATTGCTGAAAATAATTTTCTAAAGGTAAAATCATGACCATCCTACAACCATTAGATGAATGTGTCGAAGGTTTTACTTAATTCGGTAATGAACGAGGGGACCAGAGAGGTTTTTGAACCAACCCAAAGGAAAATCCAGAGTGAAGACATTTATAAACTATTAAGAAAGCTGGAATGAATTGGATTAATGGACACAAAACTGGCTTCTTCCCTAATGGGGGCAGCGGGTTGGTTAACCCCCCACTGGACATACTGTGCATTTCTAAGGACAGGAATCATTTGCATCACTATCGGTTCTTTACAAATAAGCTGTAACACAGTCCACACAAAGACAATGAAAGGCGAAGAGCACTTGGATACCCAAGAAGTTTCAAAGTCTTTTCAGTTCATTCCTTACTGGGGCAACCGGCATTTAGCTGGTGGAAACCCAGGTGTATCTCAACTCTTGCCACACGCAAGACAGTCCCACTGGGTCCCCCATGACCTTCAAATGTCCCCACGCATATTTCCACAAGTAAAAGCTGTTGATAATGAACTGAGACGCAGCTCCATAGGAACAAAAGTATTTGTTGCATCTGTTAATGTACGTGGAATAGGTTTTACTCAGTAAAGAGGTTTATACCTGTTCTTTCGTGTCCTATATTTCTTAAGACAGAATGACTTCTGGTCATCCTGCTGCTTTCAAATGCAGTCTTACTCATCAACAGCAGAAGCAAACAGCTCATCGACTCTGTAAATCTTGTGGTGCAGCCTCTCCCAAGCGCATATGAATTGCACTTCAATGTTGCACAATTCTGTCGTCCCCTTATTTTTTTTATAAGCAGTATTCTATAAGTTAGTTTCCTTTTATTTCTCCTCGATAGTAGAGCCAGGACAATATTCCAATTGTTTAATTATGTGTATAGGTCGGTGATAGTATTCATGAATTTTGTTTCAAGGGTGTAAGGCAGCCTTATCTAGTATCCGTCACAAAGGTGAGTGTTGGCCGAGTCAGTCGGTAGGGTTGAGAGCCGCTGTGATGGAAGAACACCGCCCTCAGGTCTCTCTCTTTCTCCGCTTGCAGCCTCGCCATTCTCTCTGAGGGAACAAAGGCTTCCCCACTGGGCACAGCCTGGAGCATCTGCCAATCATCAAGGAGCCCCTCCTCCACAAGGCAGCCCCTCCCTGGCCAATCCGTGCTCTCTTCTCAGATGCTGTGTCTTAAGCATGTGACCAAAATATCAAAAACACTTGAAGCTGATTGGTTCTAGCAGCTTCAAGTGTTGCCCAAAACAAAACAAAACAGAACAAAGTGAACATAAATCCAACAGAAGGTTATCCGAGTCTTATTGGATGCCTACCTAAAATATTAGAATAGCATTTGAAAACAGCATGTCCCTTTTTACTGCCGAGCCGTATGCCATTGTGCAAACAGCCTACAGTTCGTTTCCTCGTCTTCCTGCTGATGGACACGTGGGTCGTTTCCAATTTGGGGCTCTCCTGAATAAGGCTGCCCTGAGTGCTCTCGTCCGCCTCCTTTGTGGGCACGACTTCAGTGCTCTGGAGGACTTACCTAGGCGTGGAATGGCTGGATCAGAGGACAGAGGTACATTTTAACTTTGTACAACCGCCCACGAGGTTCTCGAAGTGGTTGCGCCATTTCACACGCCCACCACTGATACCTGAGAGTTCCCGGTGCCCCTTGTCCTGCTGCTGTCGGCATTAGACATCGGTTGCCATTCTGCAGCCTTGACATTTAGCACTCAGTGGGAGGAACAGAATCTCTCCTCAGTGAGGGCAAGAGAGAGGAAGCAGGGTTTTTCCCAGAGAGCCGTGGACACTGGGGACTAGCTTCCAACATCCACAGCCCACCCTCATGAAAAACAGCCCCCGACTTTCCAGGAATTTCCTGTTTCCCTCCACATCCCATGAGACTCAGAGAAGATGGCCCTACCCCAGCCCAGCCCAGCCGGAGCACTCTTCTGAGAAACTTCCAAAGCTTTTGATGACCTGACGTCTTCTGAACACAAATGACCTCCAACACCAGAGAGTCTCCCACCTGGGGCTGATCGCCCCCCACCAAAGACCAGGGCAGAGGTGAAAGGTGTTTGATCCTTGAAGACATCTTCAGATCGCTGACTCGTCTTGTGACTGAGGGGACCAACATATCTGACAACTCTTTAAGCCAAGCTAAGTATGAGTTTCTGTTATTTGTACCGAAAAGCATCCCCATCCGCGGGTGATTTACAGTGTGCATCACAGAGCTGGAGCCAGTTCTTACATTCTCTCTAATTTCCGCAAGACTGTTCGAAGTTCAAACCATGTTTTGGGGGTGCCAAACACCTCCCATCACCACGGAGGCTTCTGCCCCATCAGAAGTGATTTGCTAATGGTCGATAAGGGGCTGTGTTTAGAGACACAGTGCTCCCCTAAGTCAATCGGTGAGACAGTCCAAACATGCCTCCGAAGATGCTCCAGTGACTCAAGACTTCCCCCCGAGACGATTGCTTTCTCAGGCTGTTGGTTTCACCGAGTGCTGGGGCCTGTTAGCTGAGTTTACAAGGATCTTTTTAACGGAGACTGAGTTCAGCTCTGCCCCCAGGACTATGGCAGAGGCGTGCAAAGTCACAATGACACTGGTGTTCGGTTGTCCTCTGTGATGCAGATGAGACCGGCACAGATGTGGACAGAATCGGTAATGCAGCCGCCTCTCTCAGTTCACGGTCTCCTGAATTTTCTCTCTTGCATGAAATTTCTCCCACCGGCTGCTCCAGAGTCCCGGTGTGACAGGGAAGGTGGGAACCATCAACCGTTTCAGACGGGAAACCCAGATGCAGAGAATTCCTTGTGGCCCTTGGAGGTGTTTTAAGGTTTAACGTTTTAAACCATATCCCTATTTTCTAAACATTTGTCCCAACCTTTCCGGTGAATGTAACCCACAGGGATGGATTTTTTCTTTTTTCTTAAAAAGAGAGACCCAAGTTGGGTGAGACTGTCGGTCTGTTCCACCCGTGCCCCGCCCCCTGCCCCACGCGCTCCGCCTGCACTCCGCACCAGACCACTCCGCTGGAAGCAGAGAGGCTGCGTTCGATATCAATGCAAACCACTCCAGGCACTCAGGGTTATCTGTGCTCTGCGTGAATAACGACAGCAGCTTGCAAGTGGGCGGGACTTGGCAGAGAGGCCCCTTCGCCAATCCGCTGCGGCACCAACACGCTCCCCCCAAGCACCCGTGAAATCCGCCTTCAGTCGCTAATTTCACACTCCAGGGACAGAGCTGTGAACAGCTCAGAGCATGTAATTCTCATTTTCATAACAGTTTCCTTAACCTTCAGATACCCTCTTCAGGCATTTTCTCCACCTTTGAAAAAATTAAAACGCTCAGTTCCTTTAAGGTCAGCTCTCAGGTTGGTTTTTTTGCTTCATCATCTCGTTACCGCCTTGACTTTGCAGACAACAGAGCTTTTATTTTGTCTCTTCCTCGGTTGCATTTTTTTAACAGCAAACTGAATCGTTCTCATAGTCTGCATTCATTATTCCCGCTCCTGCCATTTTCTAAATAATGTAGGTGCTTTGGATGCTTCTGCGATGAGCACAGAATGCTTTTGAAATACCCTGTTAAGACATGCTTTTCATCTCCCTCCTGATCATAAAGCAAGTCCTCTTCTCTGGGTGCCTGCAGACTCCAGACATGTGCAGCCAGACACAGAGGAGGGCCCTTTGGAACAGGAAGTGAGGATGTTGAGCAGACTGCCAGAATTTTAGGGGCCAGATTAATGAAACTCTAAATTTGGGATTAGGATTTGATTGTTCATCAGTGGTTCCCATTGTCAAACGACTCAGTTGGGCATTTTCATCAATGAGTGATGCAGGCATAATATCTATTCAGATCATAAAATACTGTCATGATCGGACTCGGCTGTTTCAGAAAAGTAATCACGGGTTTGTTTCTGATGTAAATGGCCTTGCTGGGGTTTGGCTTGTTTGTTGGTGCTTTTTATTTGTTTGTTTGTTTTAAATTAGCTGTAGTTCTGATCGTGATCCTTTTCGAGACAGAAATGTTGAGCAATCAGGAAAGTAGGGGCACACATCCGAAACTTTAGTTTCTGGTAAAACAGATCCTGTCTTTATTTGGAAATTTGATATATTGTTCAATGCGGACTTTTGGGGGCAGCAATTTTGGTTTTTTTAAAGTATTGCATCAAAATCGTCTATCTGTACTTGATTACTGAGTTGGGGACACGCCAGCATGATTGTACCCAAGGCAAACGCCCACCTGCCTCATCCCAGTCCCTGCCCTGAGTTGACCTCAAGCCCAAGGAAATGGTGAACCTGGGGGTCCCTCATCACTGATGGTGGATTTGGGTCTTCCCTGGAGAAAAGGAAGATTTAAGAGTCTCAAGTTGGCCCCAGACTCTCAGCTTGCCTGCGCCTTCCTAAACACCAGGAAATAAGTCCCAAAATAAGGTGCCATGTGACCATGTCATAGGCTCCCGACCTCCCGCCTGTCTTGCCCTCTTTCCTTCCCTCTGTGTTCTCTTGACCTGAGATGAGGCAGCACCCCCCCCCCCCAGCATCATCCCAAATTAGAACTGAGTGCCAGACGTTGCTTGGGTGAGGGTCTCTCAGATGAAACCCCAAAATACCAGGATCCCAGCATCCTCGCTGGGTACAGACTGGACTCCCCGTGAGGCCTGGGGGAAAGAGGTGGGGTGATTTCCAGGCAAGAATTTCAGAGTTTCAGAGTCAGCTGTCACCCCAAGCAGCCTTTCCCAGGCCGGCTCTGAGACAGATGTAAAAGTCCACTTTATAACTCTTAGCGTTCTTTTTTCTTTCTGTAACTTTTTTTTATTAGTTTGCACACAAAAAAATGGAACCTGTCACCCATCTGCGTATCATCCTTGTGCAGGGGCCCCACTAATCTTCTCTGTATTGTTTCAGTTTTAGTACCTCTGCTGGCAAAGTGAGCTCTCTTGATGTTCTGGAGTGTCTATGATATTGACACAAATTATCCACCAAAACTCTTGGGTGTCTGCCGTCCAACATACCGACATTTAGCTATTTGTGAGGGTCTGGAAATATCTACTCGGATCAGTGATTTCCTCCCTTACCCGCCCCCCTCAATTTTGGGCAAATGATTGAATCCCTGTACATGGTATCATAGTGGCAAAATGTTCTTTTAATCACCCAAAGGACATTACCCTTCATTTCCTAATAACTGGCACCCTGGCGGTCCTACATACTCAGTCACAGCCCTCGGATGGATGTAGGCAGGGCCGGAACAAGCTCATCTGAGTCTTGGCAGAACATCTCATGACCACCCCGCCCCCAGGCACATCCTATCACTTCCCTCTCCCTGGGAAGCTGCCACAAGACAGTGTTTCATCACCAAGCAGGTAAGCTAGGAGGCGCTCCATCTCACCCCTTCAGAATATCACAGCCAACTACTAAACCTCTTAGCTGCAGTCTAGAATTGGTTCCTTGGCAACAGAGTGTCCCATCATTCCTTGCAGCCATCCAGCCCCATTGATTAGATATCACCCTAAATCGTAAAGGCACAGCTCTCTATTGGGCAGAATGCCCTTCAGAGACAAGACCGGAAAAACCCAAGTCAAACAAAAAAAAATCAAATAAATTTTAAAAGCAAAAAAAAAAAAAGTATGTTTATTGACCCACATGACTTAAAGGCAATCTAAGGTAGTGATTCTTAATGAAGGTATTTGCCCCCCCCCCACCCCCAGGTTACATGGCAATGTCTAGAGTCATTTTTGGTTGTCAGGGTGCTGGGGCAGAGCATGCTACTGGCATCTAGTGGGTAGAGGCCAGGGATGGTGTTAAATATTCTACAATGTACAGGACAGAGCCCACAATGGCTATCTAACTTCGAACTATTAACAGTTCCATGGTTGAGAAGACCTGTTCAAGGGCAATGGCTTCAGGCATGGCTGAATCTAGGAGCACAAATCCTGTGCACAAGGCTCCAATGCTCTCCCATTCTTGGCCTTTTTCCTCCACATGGACCTCACACACACAAGCAGAACCACTCTACTCTGTGGCCCTGCTCACGTCCTCACAGAAACAAATCCTGTGAAAGGACAGGCACTCTTTCTAATAAACCAAAGCAAGTCTGGCACTGAGTTTCATTGGCCGCCCAGGAATCTCTTTAACCTAAGGAAGTGGTGGCGAGGGTGAAGAGGGAGATTACACTGACTGTCAAGGTCAAATCTAAAGCTGGAGACTACTGGTCATGTCTTCCACAGGGATTAAAGAGGGGAGGGACTACTTGCCCGAAACAAAATCAAGGCGGCCTACCAGGAGGAGGTGGCACAGATGCTGGGCACACAAAAGCAGCAGTGCCCTACAGCCTCAAGTTTCCAAATAAAAGGGGTTGGAGAGGGACTGGGTTATAGTGAGAGACACATACCATGGAGAAAGGAAAGGGTAAAATAAAGGGGGGGAACCGCAAATGTGGGTTCACTGCACTTACCAGAAAGCGTGTACAACTGAGGGTTTGCAGCCACTGTCTTTATTTCTTCCATTTTTTTATTTGATTGGGAGAACAATTATAAATACGCGTGGCAGGCAAACACCTTCCGCACATTGGATAAACTTGTGCAAGAGAAAATATTTTTGCAAAGTACAGCGTATTATACAAGCCAAATAAAATGTATTAATAGGGCCCCAGATAGTGGAGCCGTAAAACATGTATTTCCCTCAGGGTTCCATTTCCGCAGAGAGATCAGTTTTATTTACCTGTGTTACGATTAAAGTATGGTGCATTAATTCCTTAACAAAGAGAAGGAATGTGTATCCTAGGGTAAACACCATCAGCCTTTTCTTGCATTCAAACCTCTCAGCAGCTCCTTACTCTACCTGGGGGCCTGGCTGATATGTTTTAATGTGCCTACAATAGCCTCTGATAAACAGAGAGTGGGTCCCAGCCAGCAGAAGGCTGGGGCTCTTCACTAAGTGGAGCAGTGGGAAGGCTCTCTTCCTCTCCAATTTGAAGGGCCAGCCTCAAAGGGGAGGGGGGAGGTTGCATTCTTTGTGGTCTGGCAGTGATCAGAAAGGCATGCCGGGGTGTGACCGCAGCAGATTTACCCCAAAGGAGCGGTGGCTCCCTTGCTTCCCTCTCCCCACCGTAATTAGATCCCCAGTGCATTCCTTCCACCCACAACCTGGGGAGCTGGGAGCTGTTGGGGCAGATCTGCAGGGCTCCTGCAGCCTCGCCTGGCCATCCAGGGCTAGGCAGTTCTCAAAAACATGCCTGCCCATTGTCCCAAGGCCAGCACCCCTCCACCCCACCCCTGGGGGGTGGGGAACCCCACTGACTGATATTTGGAAAAAAGGAAAACTGACACAGGACGAAAGAGGCACTCCTGTCATCCTCTATTTCTAATCTCAGTTTGCTCTTGGTCTGACTGTCTCCACAGGGCACATTAGGGGCATTCTGTGCAGGGTAATTCATTGTAAGGGACACTCTGAGGCATTGAAGGATGCTCATGTTTACTGAATCCTTGTGACGTTTGAAAGAAAACACACGTGCCCTTCCAATCTCTGGGCACATGTGTTTGCCTCGAGTCTCCGCGGGGTACCCACCCCAGCCCCGTGGCACCGTTGCCTGGGTGAGGCTCGCGGCAGGCGTGTCGAACCTGTCCATTCTGAGCTCCGGTCCCTGCAGAAACTCCATTACTGAGCAGCCACGCCTCTCTCCAAAGGTAGGGGCTGCTGTCTCCTAAGCATCCAACCCCGCAGGAATAGGCTAAAACGTGAGGAAACGGAAATGAGGACCCACACATGGAACCATCACTCAATAGGCGTTTACAGAGCATGCACAGTGCCTACGGGGGTGGTCCAAGGAAGAATAAAGGCACCCTCCCGCAGAGCAAGGGGCTCCCAGTGGGTCCGGGAGATAAACAGAATTATTACCCACTGCGGAAAAGCAATGGGAGAAAGCATCCTCATGCAAAATGAGGTTCCATCCTGCAGACACCGGCCCATGTGTGGGCTGTGCACCTTATCACACTGTGAAGGGTATTTTTATGTTTGGGATGGACGGGTGGGGTGGAGAAGAACTGAACGGAAAACACCAGAGAGTGTCACAGTCGGTAGAAGTAAGTCTTGTGTTTTCAAGCATGTACACTGTCCTGTGATGCAGAATGTTATTTCTAACTTGGAGTCATGTTCAAAGACCTTCAAAAAACCCAGTGTGTGTAATTTGGAATCCTGAACGAAATTGTAGGACAGCAAAAGGCCGTTGGAGAAATACGGTGAAATCTGAATGAAGTGCAGAGTTTAGTAAATGGTAATGTGACGGGGTGGGCGATACAGAAAACTGCATTTGCAATGTGGACTAGAAGCAGCCGTGAATACGTGTCATGAAGTGAAGCTCAGTGTCAGAGTTTGGAAAGATCTGTGGGCGTGGGGCGGCTGGATATCTGTGCAATGTCAGTCAGTTCAGGTATTTCCCCAACAGCCCCGGGAGGTACAGGAACAGGGTCAAAGTGAAGAAATGGTGACTCAGCAAGACTCTCTGAAGTCACCCAGCTGAGCAGCTGGAGCACCAGGTCCCCCAGCCCCAGACTCTGACCAGAGAAGGTCCTGCCACACTGGCCATTAAGCTGAGAGACTCACGGAGGTTTCAGAAAAGAGTCCCCCACCAAGATTTTGTGGGTTCAAAGGCCACACGTTCCTCTCCTGGGAGCAAACGTCCCTCTAGTGACAGCCACATTAATGCTGTCAACTCCTAAGGAAGCCACCTGCTTTGGGCCCGGGATGTGACAGGGAACCAAGTCTTCCGGGTTCTTATCCCACCACAGCCTGTGCCCATCAGAAGAAGAGGTGGAAATGCAGAAGGGCCAGGGTTTCTCCCAGGAGGGAGGAGCCAAGTGGACTGGGTGGACTGGAGCCCCGCCCTGGCTGGGATGGGTGAGCCGTCCCCCCATTTACGTTCAGTTTCCCACATGCAGGGGTGGGGGGGTCCTCCCGCACTGACCCCTCCCCCTCAGTAGAGGGTGCAGGGCCTGGTTTGCTGACCAAAGTAGGTTCTGGAAGCCGAGGTTTGTCTTGGACATGGACAGCTTCACTCCTGCTGGAAGGTCATCGGGCTCCACGGCAACCATGTCATGCGTGTCTAAGACGTGTCCCCACATGGCAGCGTATTCGGGTGCTCAGGGACACAGCTTCTGGGGCCCCCACCCACCCCCACTTCCTCTGTCAAGTCAGCAGTTGGATGGGGCGACCCTGGCGATTTCTCCCAGCACCCTCCAGCAGCCGGTGGAAGTCACCCAGCAGGCCTTGCTGCTCACACGCTCTCGGCCAGGCCCAGCCCCCGCTCTGGGGGTGCAGCTGTGACTGTGACCCCAGTGCTGCCCCCACAGACCTTGCACTTGTGGCAGGAGACAGACAAGGAGCAAGAAATCCAAGCAACCCTCGAGACAACTTCAGAGAACGAAGCGTGCAGGGGAGAAATTGAAGCAGGCTGACGCGGGGGAGTGATGGGCGTGGGTGGGCTGGGTGGGGCCTCGGGGAACGCAGAGGGGACATTAGACCTGGGTCCTGAAGAAGGAGGAGGAACAGATGGTGGGAGGGGCCGGGGAGGGGGCTCTCGGCAGAGACGGGGGGGGGGGGGGCAGAACCCATGTCACAGCCAACCCACCCGTCCCACTGTGGGACCCGCAGAGAAGCGACATTGAACCTGCCCCAGACAAAAGTCCCTGCAGTTCAGCTGGGGCCATTAAGGGACCCTTCAAAAAGTGCTTAAGAACACAGACTCTGGTGCCAGGCTCCCCGGGTCCAAATCCCAACTCCACCACTCACTGGCCGAGTGAACTTGAGCTAGTTGCATAACTCTGCGCCCGTTTCCGAATCTGCAGGATGCAGGGCCGTAGGGAAGGTTAAACCACGTCCTGCACTTAGTGCCCTGCCTGGCCTGTCATCTGTGTTCTGCACCATTACGGTTTGGGTG